AACTTATGAATAATTTGAAATTTTCGTTATTCGAATTGCCAGTTCTTTTCAGTCGACATGTCCAATAATGAGCGAGTGTTGGAAGCGATGAAAATCGCAGTTACCAGAGCCAAGCAGCTGGCAGCGCGTGCCTTCCAGGAAGATTTGATCGACAGGCTACCAATGGCTGTGGAACGCGAACCTCTCTACGTAAAAATTTGAATATATTTTTCTTATACGCAGCAGGAAACTTAAATTGTCTTTTTTTTGATTCCTTTACTCTATAACAGTTTTGGCATTTGAGGTATTTGAAACAGTTCTGTAGCTGACAGCTTTTACGGTTTCTTTGACTAGTGCTATCTCGTCAGTGGTCATCTTATTTGCGATGGCGTTCATTTTGCATTTATTTTTTTTTTTTTTTGGACTTTTTTTATTGGCGTAATTTCGTCTTCTGAAGGAATTACCAGCTCAGTCGTTCTCTTGACAGAAGCACTTGAAATGCAGTAAATTTTTCATATTTGTTCAGTCATCTTACCTTTGACGTTGTCCTGGCCTAAATCACGATGTGATGCCTTAATGATTAGGAAATTGTTTGATATTGCAGCTAATTTGTTTATCGAAGTTCCACTTCTTTTTTCTCGTGATTCAAGCAATTGGATTTTTTTCTATTCTCAGTTTTATCATATTAAATCGTTTATTGAAATTGCCATGTAGCTCGTTTCAGCAAGCGGGCTCGCTGCTGGATGCAAGTGCACGAATTTATTCGTTTCGTGTGGATGCTACCCATTCGGAGGCTTATGATGTTCGTTCAAAACTCGGCGAAAGTAAGTCCACTGTCACGAAATTTAATTTTCAAAATTACCATGTAACAGTAATCTTAAAACTGCAAATTTTCAGAGATTGAGGATAGCAGCAAAGCTCACTCGAAGGATAAAGATGGGAAAAAAGGGTCTAATTCGGACGACGAAGACAATTCGACGGCTAAGGTTTCTTCGTTAATAAAGTCTTTCCTACTGATAATATTTAAGCAGCAATCTGTTTTTCGAAACAGTTATTTCTTTTTTCAGTCTAATAAAAAATCAAAAAAGAATGCGGATGCTGACGAGGAAGACACTCTCTCTGATATCGATATGGACAATGAAGCTGGTAAAAAAACTGACGTGTACAGCGTGGACGACCTGCCAATATATGCAGAAGAGCCGGATTCAGAAACGGAAGAGCAGGCTGTGCTAGACACCGATGAAATCCTAAAGAAATTTGCGAACAAATATGATAAATCATATGAGAACTGTATAAAACGGCGATCAAAGGTCTGAGTTTCTTTGATTTTTTATTTTTCATATTTTATTTTCGTCATTTTTTATATTTCCTTTCAGTTTTTATATCTTACATTTTTATGAATTTTTAATAGTACACACATTTATTTTTTTATAAAATGTGCATTTGCGTTATCATTCAATAAAATCGAATAGGCGGTGAATGCTAACTGAAGATAC